AGAGAGACCCTTGGCCTCAGATATCAGAGAGCGCCAAGAGTCTTGTGAAGCAGATGTTGGATCCTGATCCGAGTAAGCGGTTAACTGCTCAGCAAGTGTTAGGTGAGGTTCTTGTGTTTCTGTTTTTTTTTTTTGGTCGTAGTTACCTTAATTCACAACCACGACTAACGATTTTCTTTTTCTCAACTTTCAGCTCACCCATGGATACAGAATGCAAAGAAAGCTCCCAATGTTCCTTTAGGAGATATAGTCAGATCGAGGTTGAAGCAGTTCTCTATGATGAACAGATTCAAAAAGAAAGTTCTTCGTGTAAGTGTTTTCTACTGAAATTTGTAGATAGTCTATTGTTTGAGCCTATATTTGGTTTGATCATTATCATCCCTGTTGATGCTTCCAGGTAATCGCGGAGCACTTGTCTATTCAAGAGGTTGAAGTGATCAAGAACATGTTCTCACTTATGGATGATGATAAGGATGGTAAAATAACTTACCCAGAACTCAAAGCTGGGCTTCAGAAGGTCGGTTCACAACTTGGTGAACCAGAGATCAAAATGTTGATGGAAGTGGTAATTTTTTTTTAAGCATTGCTCTTCTCTGATTAAAGACCAATTCAGTGTTCTGCTCTGATAAAAATTTAGCTGAAATCTGTATGGCTTTGATGCGCAGGCGGATGTCGATGGAAATGGGTTTCTAGATTATGGAGAGTTTGTAGCTGTGATAATTCACTTGCAGAAGATAGAGAATGATGAACTTTTCAAACTAGCTTTTATGTTCTTCGACAAAGATGGAAGTACATACATTGAACTTGATGAGCTACGAGAAGCTTTAGCTGATGAGTTAGGGGAACCAGAGGCCAGTGTTCTAAGCGACATTATGCGTGAAGTTGACACTGACAAGGTTCTTTCAAATATCTATAAAAATCCCCTCCTTTAAGGCCTAACAATTAAGCTTGTCAAAAGAAAATATATATCGCTCTGCTTCTGAGTCGGATTTTGGGGTTGTTTGCTTTTTACAGGACGGGCGTATAAACTATGATGAGTTTGTGGCGATGATGAAAGCTGGAACTGACTGGAGAAAGGCATCAAGACAATATTCAAGAGAGAGGTTCAAAAGCTTAAGCCTTAACTTGATGAAAGATGGGTCATTGCATCTCCATGACGCTCTCACTGGACAAACTGTTCCTGTTTAATTTTATTCGTTATCACCAAAAACAGAGCAATGCTCCGTTTTTTCCCCATTTCATTAAATGGGAAATTTCCGGCTTGTTCTTTGAGGGATGGGGGTTTTACGGAAGCTATGGTCCTTTTATATATAAAAAACATTTTACATTGTATTTGAATGTAATGTTTTGTTCAAAGGTTGTATTTTATTGTCTCAAAGCAACTCAAAGCCCTAAACCAAAGAGTCAAAGTACAGATCTTTATTACACTGACACCTTATCAAACTCGTCAGAAGACTTGTCCATGTCCTTGTCCTTGGCCACAACATCTTTGTAACGGTACCAATGTGAGACCAACAAGAAATAGGCAAAGTTTAGAGTCATAATACCAGCAACCAAGAAGTAGAAGTACTCTAATCTTCCCTTGTTTAAATCTTCCGGAAGCCAGCTTCCTCCCGAAAATCCCTCTGTCGTATCGTGCACCGCCGATAACAAAAAGGTGCCGAGGTAACTCGCCAATCCAATTCCGCAATAATACAGGGAACCAGCAAAACTTCTCATGTTCTCTGGAAACTGTTTGTAATAAAACTCCATTTGTCCAACTCCAGCGAGGGCGTCCGCGATACCCATTAGCACTAGCTGAGGAATCAACCACATACCGGACATTGAAGAGATTGCGCCTTTTCTTGGGGCAAACCCTAGCGTCGGTTTTGTGAGAGCTACCTTTCTTCTGTATTGTTCTACAATTGCAGACACCATCATACTTGTGATGCATAGAAACATGCCTGCTCCAACTCTCTGCAGTTGTGTGATACCGCCGTCTTTGCCTGTATACTTTCTAGATAAAGGTACAAGGACGCGGTCATAGATTGGTATGAATATTGTCATCCCAAGCATTAAGAAGACGGTATAAGTCGCGGCTGGGATCTGGAAACTTCCTGAACCAAGGTGTCTATCGGATTGAAGAGACTGAAATATTGTGTAGGTTGTTTGTTGAATGTAAGCTAGGTAGAATAAAGCGGCCGGGAGCCAAACCGGAAGCACCCGGATCACGCATTTCACTTCCTCCACTTGTTGCAAACTGCAAAGTTTCCATGGATCCACCGGCGACCCATCTTTGTTCAACTTGTCATCTTGTGTTTGGATTGCCGATTTGTCAAGAAACCTGCAAATTAAGAAAACCCTAAAATGTTTCTTATTTGTTCCATAAGAAATTAAACTAAGAGAAATGAGGAGGTATTTAGTACCTGAACTGCTCTGTATGGCCCAGTTTCGAGTTCTTGAAATCCTTCCCGATGTAGTTGTAAAGCTCGTTAGACCCAACGGGCTTTAACCGCCTCTTCTTGATGGCGACAACAATGACACGAGTTATGCTGTGAATGGGACTGCCACTAGCTTTAACTTTGACATAGAGCTTAGAACCAGCGAAGAATATGATGCAACCAAGTAACATTAGAATAGCTGGGATGGCTAAACCAATACTCCAGCTCACATTTGACTGAACATAGACGATGAGCGTTAACGACACCATCTGAGCAAACGTGAAGGTGAAGAAATACCAATTGAAGAAACTCTCAATCCCTCGTCTCCCTTCTTTTGTCTTCGGATCAAACTGATCAGCACCAAAGGGAAGATTGCACGGCCTAATCCCACCGGCTCCAATCACCAGCAAAACCATTGCTCCAGCGAGAAACATGATTTGTCCAATAGATGGCCCACTGCACACGCTTCCTATTTCCTTAGCGCATTTAGCTGGATGCAGCTGAGGAAACACAGCCGTTAGATCCATCGCCACCGAACCCTTTGAATCAAACACAACAAAAGATTCATACTTTCAGACACAATCGGCAAGATCAGTGAGTTTTTCAAACTGATGAATAGGTTTTAGATTTTACGAGAAAGCAAGCGATCATGGCGAAAGATAGGGTCTTGTAGCGGCCAAAGTAGGAGTCACAGAGGAAAGCGGCGACGATGGTGCCAAAGTTGCTAGTGCCACCGTAGATGTTGACGACTTTCGCAGCCGTGATGCTCTTCATGTTGAAAACCGTCGTTAAGTAAATGACCAGATTCGATGAACTCCCAACAATCCCCAGCTTCTCAAATGTCTCATTTCCTACCAAATTAAGAAACAGAGCATTAAGCTACTCTGTTTATAAAATCCTCTGTTTTTTTTTCTATCAGTTTTTTTGTTCATTTCAAGATCGAAATGTTATAATTTTTTTTTTATAAACACATTAAAGAAACTGATTCATAAAATTCTACTATGTTTTATGAATCACATGTTTCATAAAAAAAAAACATACAAAGAGAGCGTAAAATTAAAAGCTAATGACTTTTATAAAGTCCTCATGTTTTTCATCAGTTTCTTGTTCGTTTCAAGATTATGATTGTAATTAAACAAAAATCATAATCTTGAAAAAAACAAGAAACAATGAAAAAACATGGAGACTTTATAATTGTGAAGTAAACAAAAATATTTATTAAAAGAAATAAAACAGTACACAAAAATATAAGAAATAGTAATATGGATTAATTAATACCAATGATGAAAGGCATGACTTTCCATCCTCTGTAGATGATCTTAGACTCATCATCCTCCGTAATGTTCTTCTCTGTCTTCTCAACCTCCATTTTTCTCTCTATGCTCTTCTTTGCTTTCACTAAGAGTGTGTAATGTGTTAGTATATGTGTGTGTGTGTATATATATATATTTAGTGGGAAGTGAGAAGGATCTCATTATGAGACCAAAGAAGTTATTTGGAGATTATACCAAAACAAAAGTGTTCGATTAGAATAAAGATTTGACTAAAAAGACTCGGCTTTATCGAAAGGAGAGGACTGGAGTTGGTATTCCTAACTGCATAGTTTTGATTTGTCGACAAACACACTAAAGTTGGGATAACTTATTAGTTTATTTGTTGCAGTGACTTATGTTATATTCTTAACTCGTTATTTAAAAATTAAGTAGCAGTCAATATATAATTCATCTTTAATATCTGTAATATCGACAACGAATCTATCCTTTTACTTTCCATCTAGTAGGTATTCTTAAACAATGTGGAAAAAAAAAAGAGAAAAGAAGAAGAAAGAAGAGTTGTTTAAGAATCATATATTGTGCCAATAAGAACATATTTATGTAATGTTGACAATTGGCTTTTAGTTGAATGCAATAAACTTTCAAAAATGCAAAGGGAATCTTCTCGCTACCGTTACTTTTTTCTTCTCAAAACTTTGTTTATGTAAAAGAAACATTTAAGCATGCAAAAGAGAAATAAAGAGACAATCATTGCAATAAAAAATCATGTTAAATTGTTTTGATAAATATGACCCTCAAGATGGGTAAATTGTATATTTCTAGCTAGGTTTAGAAGAAAAATTAAAAGTTTATCTATATTTTTTTGTTTTTTTGTTAATTAAAAGAAATAAACGTCTATATTGTAATTTGTCAGTGAAGAATGAATCAATTAGACATTTATTTCGAAGTTTTCTATACCCTCAAAAATAGAAATTCACCAATTACAATTTAATTTAGAGAACAAAAGTACAAGTTAACTAAAAAAGATGGTACATTTGCTTCTTCTTTTTAGTGATGGGTAAAAGAATATTTGTATTAATTTCATAATAAATAAAAAGTTGTCTTTGAAATTATTGCTACAGGAATAAAGCATTTTAATTTTATAGTGAGATATGATTGTGAAGAACAATTAGAAGAGAATATGAGTGATGGAGGAGACAGTTTTGATTAGCAAGGGAACAAAAAAAGTATCTTTTCCTAAGAAGTGATAAAACCCAAAAAAATCAAACCCCTTTTGATTGGATTAATCCAAAAGAAACCACCCATCACTTTTTCTGAAACCCCATTAGCACTATCGGTAATCTAATTACGTTCGTTCGTTTATAAATAGTAACAAAAATTTCGTTTTTGGAGCCTTAATTATTATGTTTTGTTGTCATATAATAACTCTAAATAATTTGTCATTTTTTCGTGAAGGTGGAAATATACGTCAGCTTTGGATCATAACGTGCGTAAGTGTTTCATAGACCTCATTGTCGTCGCTTTAAAGGCTTCTATTTTGGTCAGAAATTGGACAACATATAGCTAAAAGAAGATTTGAATTGAATCATGTAGCATCATCATCATTAGTGTTGCTTCTATTTACGACATACACATTAATGACCAAACACAAATGATACAAACCAATTTAGTTAAACAATCTCAATTCACGCCTTTCTTTTCTTCAGTTGATCGGTTGCAAAGCTGACTCATGTTCAAGTGACTTAGTGAACTGCAAGAAACACATAAAAATCTGATTTGAGATTTCATTAAAGACATGGAGATGGCGGTAAGTGTGTTTAACAACATTCTTGAAAACGTTTTTCACCTGAGAGATCTTAAGCTCAAGCTCGTTCCACTCCGAGGATGGATTGCTTCCTGAGACTATTCCTGTTCCTGCATAGATCAATGCTCCAAGACCCTGGGATACATAAAAGGGATCAAGAATATGCAAGGTACTAGTTTGCTACACTGAGGGAAGTTGTGATAAGTGAGAAAGATCACCTTTTCGACTAAAGCAGATCTTATGCCTACAGAAAATTCACTCTCTCCACCACCAAAGAACCCAATAGGTCCAGCATACATTCCTCTATCAAATGACTCTGGAAACAATAAGAAAATATATCAAATCTGAAATCTTAATCACTTGTCAATCCTGTCAAGTATTAGCATCTATTAGGCGATGGCTTTCTCTGCAGACGAAATTCTTTTTTCCGAAAAGACTTAGTGCAAGAAAATTTGAAAAGGCAGAAGAATCAAAGCATATCATACCAATTTGCTTAATCAAAAGCCTTGCTTCCTCTACTGGACATCCGCAAACAGCTGGTGTCGGATGCAAAGCAGTTAAGATGTCAAACTGAAACAGAGACAAAGATATTTTGAGGTAAGAGAGAAAATGTAGCTTTCTTCACTGTATTAGATTACAACAGATTATAAGTTAAAAAGAAACTCATCATGTCTATTTTAAATAACAAATCAAGTGATTTAGATGATCATTAGATACTAAATCATGTAAAATCGTCATCGAACCTCATCATCTTCTCTTCTTAGCTGTCCTGCCAATTGAGAATATAGATGCTGTACTCTTGCAAGCTTTCTCACTGATTTTTGGGGTTCAACTACTACCCTGTCACATATGGTCTGCATGCAAAGCAGAAGAGAAGATGATAAGAAAATAAAATCAGAAGGTTATATATAAAAAGACATTCTAGATGAATATGTTTTCGCATTCACAAAGATTCTGCTAAATAAAGCTATCTGTTATGTGAAACAAGTACCATTATACTTTTTATGAGCCAAAAAATGTAACCTAAAGGCATGATTATACTCTTCTACTTGAAGCCGGGAATTGAGGTTGATGAGCAATAAGATTGAACTTACTTTAAGTTTTTCTCTTATATTCTCTCGGACAATAGAAAACTCAAGATCGTCTTTGGGACTGCAAAAGTATTTTGCAAATAATATTAGTACACACATCTGAAAGTTTCTAAGAATGCATCTTGTAAGTGTTTAAAGCACAAAACAAACAATTGACCTGGTTAGTAAGTCGCGCTCTATCTCCAATTCACGAACCCTTGAATCACCTCTAGGCCTTGTTGCAGCCAAAGCCTCACTGCAGACACCTAGGTGTTTTCTGTGGAAGAGTCTCTCAGGCTGTTCCATAAATATATATGTCAGAACTCAGAACCAACCAGCAGTTGATTTCACATCTTTTCTCAGCAACACTATCTTAGCAGCTAAAAAACAGAGTTTGCTAACAACTTGACTAAGTAACCTACCGTGTTCCCTATGAATGCTGGTGCACTGGGTGGTTGAAGACAGAACTGGTACGCGTCTTGTCCTTCACACTGTTATATTAATAATTAGACTGAGATTTCAACACTTAAAATTTCTGTAACCCGAAAAAGTGATTAGTCTAACAAATGAGTGAAGAAGTGAAGACACCTGCAACCGTGCTAACCAAGCGATAGGATCAATGTCGGTATCCGTAATGATTCTGCTGCTGCGTGCAAGCACAACCTGATTCCCAAACCAAAAAAATTGAAACCCATACCATAAATGTACAAAAGAAAGGAAGATATAGTTCCTTAAGTACCTTGCTTAGCGGCGATTTTTTGTCTTTTATAATCTCGAGAGCACTATTTACAGCCGGGTAATAGGCTCCTTCACTTGGAACATGGTTCTTGCTAAGAATAGAAACTCCTAGAGATTCTCTGCGTAATCTCATTATAACAGAAGAAACCTGATAAAACCAAATATTATACATATACATTTAGCTGATTATGTCAAATAGTTGATAAGTAAGGAGCAGATTTCAAAAATGGTGAACCTGAAGCATAGTTTCCTGAAGTGCTTCAATAGCATTTTCAAGCGTCCATGAGAGCTCATTGTCCCAAGCAACAGTTACAGCCTGCATTGAGCTTCCTTCAAACTCATCAAACTCGACCTATGTGTGTATCAACCAAACAAAGTCATTAGTCCATCCTTACAAAGATTCTCTTAAGGAATCAAATTGTTCTAGTACCTGAGGCACTGTAAAGTAAAACGAGCCAAAATGTTCCCATTCCACAGCGATCTTCCCGTTAGGATCAAATCGAAGACCTCCATACGCGCGAATCAGAGGAGACTTTGAAGACAGAAACCTTTAAAACAGGGGAAATCATTCTGGTAAGCGAGAAGACAAAGTAGAAAGAATCAAACTTCATGAATATCACGAGTTTTCGGTGCTGGTACCTTCGGATCGATCTCAAGTCATCATGAGAAAACGGATCCAGATCGCGGAAAAAGACAGCAGACCCGATTCCAGCAACACTAACCGGATTACGATCAGATGATCCATTGTCATTCGAGAAGTCTTGAAGAAGATCTGGACGGACGGTGTCACTACGACGGGAAAAGAAACTGCGAGGAAGAACCTCGTTCTGCGCATGAAGCCAATCGATTGCTCCGATTTGCTGCTCAATTGGTACCTTCAATCACAAGATTAAGGTCTATAAAAAATAGGGCTTTTATTTTGATTTTGCGCGGGAGAGAATCTAAGTCGTTAATTTTTGATTTATTATTTTTTTTTTTTGTAACTTGCAAGGCACTTACCAGTATCTTTTTCTTTATGGAAAAAATGTCATTTAATAGCCGAACTTTCAAATTGTGGCCATTTGGCACACCAACTTCACATATGGCCATTCTATACATGATAAAATCGTTGACTTCTTTTTAACACATGACAAAATCGTTGACCACGCCAAAACAACACCCGTTAACGGATCCGCTAACACCCGTTAACACCCCGTTAACACCTCCGTTATTTCCCAAAACGACGTCGTTTCGGTCTTAAAACAAAACTTCAAAAATCAAAATCCCCAATTCACAAAAATCAAATCCCTAATTTTCGAAAGAGATTCTCCGATGAACTAACAATTGTGAATCATATCGTTGATTGGGTCTGTAATTGAAGCTGCAATGCAAGGCGAATTAGATAGAGAAGAAGAGGTTGTCGTCGGAGATGGAGTTCCATGTCCTCCGACGGAAGAAGCTTCAGAGTTAGCTGGCGGAACACAATCTTCTCCCGGAGCTAAAGGTCGAGCTTCACGACGGCGTCGGAAACGAAAAAGAGTCAGACATGAAGAAGAGGAGGATGAAGAGCCTGAAATGGTGCATGAGCCTGACCTCGAAGATGACTGCGTCGTGTATGGTGATGAAGACTGTGATGCTATTGATGATGCAGTTGGCGGTGGAGATAACGATGTTGTTGATGATGCAGTTGATGGTGATGGTGGAGACAACGATGATAATGGTGGTTTAGCTGTGGAAGAGAATGTTAACATGGAAGAAGATTTTCCCGAAGCTTTAAGAGGAGACGAAGGTGGTACTGATTCTGACAGTGGGGATGACATCTGGGAGGATGAGAAGATTCCAGATCCTTTGTCATCGGACGACGAAGATGAAGACAGAGCCGAAGAAGAGGGAAATCAAAGTGAAGAAGAGGATCCAGAGGTGTTGCTAGCTCTGGCGAAAACTTTCAACACTCCTGATGACTTCAAGCTTGCTCTTTTGAGATACTCCTTAAAGACAAGGTATGACATTAAACTTTATAGGTCTGAAGCTTTGATAGTTGCTGCTAAGTGTTGCTATGTTGGTGATGATGGTATTCTTTGTGGCTGGAGAGTCTATTGTTCTTATGAGAAAAGAAAACATAAGATGCAAATAAGAGCCTATGACAGTGAGCATATATGTGTTAGGTCAGGCTATTCTAAGATGTTGAAGCGGTCCTCAATTGCATTATTGTTTGAGGAAAGGCTGAGAGTGAATCCAAAACTTACAAAAAATGAGATGGTTACTGAAATTAAGAGGGAATACAACTTGGAAGTAACTCCGGATCAGTGTGCTAAAGCGAAGACCAAAGTGCTGAGAGCAAGACATGCTAGTCATGATGATCACTTTTCAAGAATATGGGATTATCAAGCTGAGGTTTTAAAGCAGAATCCAGGGACAGAGTTTGAGATAGAGACAGTTCCAGGGCCTGTTATTGGAAGCAAGTAGAGGTTTTATCGGTTATATATATGCCTTGTTTGAAAAATCGCTAGGCGCTAGTCGGGCGCTCGGCATGGGCCTAGCGATTAATCGGAAAATCGGATTAAAATCGGGGATTAATCGGGGATTAGTTTTAGGGTTATTTTAATATTTTTAAAACATATTAATCTAATATTATTTTCAAAATTGCAGTAAACACATAAAAATGTATTTTTGAGACAAATTTTATGATTTTTATTACAAATTTATGATTTTTATTAAAATTTGAACATAAACTCCCAATTTAAATGATTGAATAACAAAAATAAAAAGTTTTTTTATACTAGCAATTTAAAAAATAATCGGGGTATGTAAGATTAGACGGGGAATAATCGGATTAGGCGGGGAATAATCGGATTAGGCGGGAAGTAATCGGATTAGGCGGAGAGTAATCGGATGACTGATTTCTTTAAGGGATTAGTCATTAATCGAGGCGGATAGGGTGGGCCTAGCGATTAAGCGGGGAGTAATCGGGTCTAGGCGGGGATTTTTAGAACATGGTATATATGTTTTAATTCTCAAAAGGATTCTTGGAAGCAAACTTGTAGACCTGTGATAGGAATCGATGGAGCCTTTCTGAAATGGGATATAAAGGGTCATCTTCTTGCTGCTGTTGGAAGGGATGGCGATAGTAGGATTGTTCCTATAGCTTGGGCAGTTGTAGAGATAGAAAACGATGATAATTGGGACTGGTTTATGAGACACCTCTCTGCTAGCTTGGGGCTCTGTGAAATGCAACATCTAGCTATCATCTCAGATAAACAGTCGGTTAGTTTTCTTGGTTTATTAGAGATTGCTTATGGTTTTAAGTCTTTTATGAATGGTTTTCAGCTTATTTTCGTGTGTTTTCTTATGTTTTTCTGCAGGGTCGAGTCAAAGCTATCCATACCATACTCCCAGAAGCTGAGCATCGACAATGTTCAAAGCATATAATGGACAACTGGAAGAGGGATAACCATGATATAGAACTAACACGTCTCTTTTGGAAGATTGCCCGCAGTTACACCATAGAAGAGTTCAACAATCATATGGAAGAGCTTAGGAAGTACAATCCTCAAGCTCATGCAAGTCTGCAGCTTACTAGTCCAATGACATGGTCAAGAGCCTTCTTTAGAATAGGGACTTGCTGCAATGACAACCTCAATAATCTGAGTGAGTCTTTTAATAGGACTATTAGACAGGCTAGGAGAAAGCCTTTGTTGGATTTGCTAGAAGACATCCGGAGGCAATGCATGGTCAGAACTGCAAAGAGGTATATCATTGCTGACAGATTGAAGACAAGATTCACAAAGAGAGCCCATCTTGAGATTGAGAAAATGATAGCTGGGGTTAGAAATTGTGAGAGATATATGGCCAGAAACAATTTGCATCAAATAGAAGTGAATGGTGTTAGTTACTTTGTAGATATGGACAATAAAACTTGTGGTTGTAGGAAGTGGCAGATGGTGGGGATCCCTTGTATTCATGCGGCATCTGTGATAATATGCAAAAGAGAGAAGGTTGAAGACTATGTCAGCGAGTATTATACAAAGGTAATGTGGCGAGAAACATATAGGGATGGTATTAGGCCTGTCCAAGGGATGCCATTGTGGCCTAGAACAAGTAGGTTGCCTGTCTTGCCACCACCATGGAGAAGAGGCAACAGAGGAAGGCCTAATAATCATGCTAGGAGAAAGGGAAGAAATAAGACTGCTTCTTCTTCTAATAAGAACAAGATGTCACGGGAAAAGAGAATCATGACATGCTCTAACTGCCTGCAAGAAGGGCATAACAAGCAAGGGTGCAAAAATGCAACAGTCTTGAATCCACCACCTAGACCAAGAGGAAGACCAAGAAAAAGGCCGGTATGTTTTAAAGCTTTTTCTGTGTTACAACTCACTGAATTCATGTGTTTTCTGCTTTACAACTCACTGAATTCATGTGACAACTCACTAAATGCATTATGGTTTTTGGTAGGCGCCAGAAGTGCTTGCAACATTTCCTAGTGAAGCTCATCCTGGATCACAAGGACAAGTGCAAGGCTCACAAGGAACACACACGGCTCTTGGCTCACAACAAGGATCACAACCTCATTTTGCATCTCAAGGATCACAAGATACATCAGATCATCAATCACACGATGCACAAGCTCATCAAACGCATGGAGCAGAGTCACAACCATAAGCACAACCAGAAGGACAGGGGCTTGGTAGATTTGCATCATTGTTTCAGTGTTCTAATTGATGAAGATTTTCTGAAGTTTTTTTTTGTTTCTGAACAAAACATTTCTATTGGAGTATTTTGTTGTTTGGTTCTTCTATGACTTGTATTGTTCTTTTTGTTTAGTTGTATGAATGATTGTTGGTCTTTCTGACATAACTCTTATCGATCAAGAGAAGACAAATTTGTATTTCCATTACCAAAGGCACAACTCACAAGGATCACAAAGCCAAAATAGCATTTCATTAAAGCAAGACACAACACTAAAGACCAAACAACTAAAACTCATACCAAACAACAAAGAAACTAGTATCCTATAACAAGATTCTGGTTTTTGGTAGTAAACAACAGTAGGATCACAATTACAGTAACAGTTAAACAAATGCAGACCAACCACACTTTGATTCTCTTAATTTCTCTTTTGCTCCACGTTCCATTTTCCTTCAATTCATTGATCATCCACTTTAACTCTGAAATCTCGACTTGAACCTCAGATTTTGCATTGTTTATCTCATTGTCAATGATGGAAATTTTCGACTTAGTGTCTACAACCTTTTCGTACACACAATCTTCGACCCATTTAAACAAATGGTCCTGCATTATAGTTGCAAATATATTACCGACCAAACCCAAAAAATACTAAATCAAATCTACTTACATCATTCAAGGTTGGACATCGGAAGAACGGTCTTCCTGGGTTCTGCTTCGTCTTCGATGTGTAGATGACAACGTCTAACCCGCAGTGACACTTTGAAGGAAACCCACGGAACTCGCAACCTCCATCTTGAACACTCGAATTACCTGACTTGCAACTCATATCTCGTGTAGAAGACGGAGAATTTGATGAAAATAAAGAAGATTTCGAGCTTAAAGGAAGATATTGCTGAGAATTGAAAATTTTAGGGTTTGAAATCGATTTGGGAATTTCTCAGAATTGGAGAGCTTTTGAAGTTTTGTTTTAAGACCGAAACGACGTCGTTTTGGGAAATAACGGAGGTGTTAACGGGGTGTTAGCGGATCCGTTAACGGGTGTTGTTTTGGTTTGGTCAACGATTTTGTCATGTGTTAAAAAGAAGTCAACGATTTTATCATGTATAGAATGACCATATGTGAAGTTGGTGTGCCAAATGGCCACAATTTGAAAGTTCGGCTATTAAATGACATTTTTCCCTTTTCTTTATCTAAAAACTCAAACATTATTCCTCCAGATAAACCAATGAAATTTAAAATCTTACTTCCTTACATCAAGAAATAACTAATTATTTTCATAAACAGATAAAACCATTAGTATATTATTATATGATAACAATTTTTCATAAGAAAGACTGTTGTTTGATATCTTTTTGATTCTAACAACAATTTATTTGCATAAATACAAAAATGTTGAACCAATGATGCAAAATAGTTAAAACCTGACCCCATACTATTGGGTAGATAAATTTTAAATCTAACAATAAAGTTTAAATGGAACCGACAGCAAGAAATGAAACAATATCACACATACCAATGCAAGAGCTCCACGTGGCTTAAGCTCATTGTTTGCCTTATGAATTTCGGATTGGCACAATAATTTATTACGTACCTGTAATCGGACAATGCCGGAGGAGATTGGAGGCGGTTGAGATTTAAGGTCAGAGACGGCGGTTATCAGCCTCTCCGTCGCGGCCGCCGGAGACGAAACCGTGGAGAGAGTCCTTGTTTCTACCGTACCAAGTGGTGCTTTATGGTCAGCCTCACATCCGTTCATATACAGTGAACAGCGAAGGAACCTCTGTTCATGAAGAAGGTTTCCAATTATTTAATACTCCATATGCTATTACATAAAAAGACAAAAAGAAAAAAAAAAAAAGACAGAGTGGTTTTGCTGATAATGATTGTAAAAGAAAAACAAACCTGGCGAGAGACACTGCGAGAGGATAATTTGGTGAATGAGGTTCGAGAGTAGCTTTGGAAGATCGAAGTGGGATTGTATTTTTTAGGGTTTGTGCCCAGAAAATGAGATGAACATTGAAGCGACGCCATTAGAGAGACTACGAAGATGTTGATATTATTGTTTTTATGCAAGGCACTGATTGAGTCTTGAGGTTGTGTGATATGCCTTGTCTGAATTACCTATCCCCTATATATTAATTGAGAAACATTTTAAATAAAAAACCTTACCTTCACGTGTGATTTACAAGACTGCCATGCTGACATGTCGCAACCAGAGAAATTCTGAGCAAACTTAATAATTGTCCAATATTTACTAGACTAATTACATATAATGCCATTAGTGGTACTTATGCATATTTTTCCTCTATATTTAAGAGATTAGCAATTAATAAAGGAAATTAATTAATAAAAACTATATATATTGACGAAACAAGTAAAAATTATATAGCATAAATCATGATGAACAATATATAATATAAATGTTTATTATATGTTTTGTACTTATATTTTCTTATATGTTTTATAAAAAACATTTAGAATTTTAACATATATGACATTTTATTTTTTGTTATAAATTACAAAACATCTAAATATATATGTGAGCCCATATGTTTCTTAAATATATTTGGAACATAGTTTAAAACTATTAGTTTTACATAAATTAGTTAGTAACATTTCATTTATTACACATTCACTATGAACAATATTTCAATATTAATCTATGTTAAAAATGTATCCGCTTACTCATTATTTTCAATATATTTCTTTTCAAATTTTTACCTTATCAATTTATTAAAACTTTTACACGGTTTATTCAATTTAATTAGTCATTTACTCATTTTAGTTACAATTTATTTACAACTCAATACCTTATCGTAACAATATAAATTGATTCATAAAATGAGGGATATGCAATAAATCAATCCTAACTACATAGAATTATCAAGAATAATAAAGGATAATAAAATTTTATTACGTTTAAAAAATAATTATTCATACTCTTTTCAGTTTTTATATTGAATTGTTTCCAAAATAAAATCTTAATTAAAATACAAAAAATATTCGAATATATTTCAGAATTATAGGAATGATATTTCAAAAAAAAAACTTTGGTCAATATTTTAATTTAAAATCTTATTCCAAATATGAAATATCCTAATTCCTAACTAATAAAATCTCCAAAATATATGAGTTACTAAATCACATTCAAATATTCACACTTATATATCAAGTGATAATATATAATCGGTTTCCAAAAATTGTTTATATATTTCATATAACTATTTCTTCCCGCACATAGTGCGGGTAAATCATCTAGTATATATATATATATATATGATCCCGAATTAGGGCCCACATTATGTTAAATTTCGTTTTGAGATTCATGAAATTTTCTCAAGAAATTATAGTCGTCGTGGTGGCTCATTTACTTTAATATATAATGATGGTGATTTAATATCAATTGTGTGATTTTAATAACAAAATGGAGATTATCTTTGGTAACCAGGATTTTATCATTTCTTTGGAGTTGTTATGGTTACCGGTGGTAGCTATTGTACCATCTCCATTTGATGTCGTCACAAGTATTTTCTTGTCTCGATGATTTTGTTTGTGTCTTGTTGTTGAAGTTGTTGCAAGTTCAAGTCTTAGTGGTGTGATGAGTTCTCTCCTTTAGCTTCTTTGATATGTGTTCTAGAGGAGCTAGTAATACTAATGGACGTTCGGTGTGGTTTTGAGTTGCATTTTCAAGCTCTGTGCTAACCGACTCGAGGAGTGAACTTGGTAGAGTGAGCTGATATCGTTCGTTTTTCTTGGTTCGTGAGATTCCATTATGAGAAAACTCATGGATTTGTTTGATGAGCAACTCTCACATGACATGGGAGACGTATGTGATTGAGGGTTTTAAGTACTTAATCGTTGACGGCTCAATCTCGAATCTCCGTTGAAAGGCTTTTAGTGCAAAGCCTCATAAGTAATTTGGCTTCTACAAGTCGCACTCGTTCTTTGTCTTCTCCAACTAATCTGCGAAAAACAGCAAAATTGTATTCACTTCATTAACTTCATTAGTTTGGGTGTTTTTGTTGAGTGGGTAGACTGAAATTTGTGTTCCGAATTATGTTTCCTTGTTATCTTTTTACATTAAAATCATTAACTAGGTCTATAATAGACGTTTACCAAATATTCAAATGAATTAATCAAAAATATATTTTAATTTATCAAATGGATGTTCACGAAAATGAAACCAAACCATAAATCTAAAATGTAAACCATAATCTTTATTTAATAAATAAAATAGAGGAAGAAACAAATACTCTCTTTGTTCTTATTTACTTGATGTTTTAGGAGAATGCATACAGATTCAAAAATCATTTAAATTTTGTTTATTTCAAAACAAAAACATCATTTATTATCTAATTGACCAATAGAAAAACAATCTACATAATATAAATCGTCAAAACTAGTAAAAAACTAATTAATATTGCATTGAAAATTAAAAATATCATGAATAAAAATATAAATCTAAAACATTATTTATAAAAGAGCGGAGGGAGTAACATGTTCTCGCAAAAAAAAAAACTCAATATTTATAAAAAACATTAGTTATGTTGTCTTTGTTATTTACTCTACTACATTCAAAGCAAAAGAAAGAACTGTTACGTCTATACGATCAACATTTGAAGAATAAAAAAAACATTTGACGGAGATATTTTTTATTTCGTATAGAAGTTTTGTTCAATATTTTTTTTTGAATTTTTTTTTGTTAACAAGAAAATATTGTATTATGTGCTAAAAATGAATTAAAGAAACAAGTCAGCTGGATTAATAAACACGACACTCAACACGAAAACACGAAAACACGAAAACACGAAAACACGAGTATATCGTGTTATTAATTGGTGATGGGAAGGCCCATGTTCGAATTCGATCATACAACCACTAATCATTGAAGTTACTCATATATAAGTTTATTTTTCGTCTTCTTTTTTCTTTCGTTTTTCAGTTTTTTTTTCTTTTTCCGGCGAGTTAAAAGTTAATCTTAGGTCTGGGTAAATAAACCGAACCGAATATATCAAACCAAATGTACCAAATCGAAATCGAAACAAAGTTAATCAAACCGAACCGAAAATTTAAAATTAAAATAACCGAATGGATACTAAATTCTATAACCGAAATAACCGTAACCGAATAAGTACCGAACCGAAATATTTCGGATAACTGAAAAATACCCAAAATACAATTATACTTTCAAAAATATTAGTTATTTATAGACTAAATAGTCAAAAATAATTGAAAAATTTATAAAAATAGTAAAAATACTCGAAAATAATCAAAAAGTATTTAAAAATATCCGAAAATACTCAAAAATAACCAAAATATCCGAAAATATCTAAATCAAAATAACCGAATGGATACTAAATTTAAAACCGAAAGAACCGGAACCGAACCGAAATATTAAAATACCCGAATATATACTAAATTTTATAACCAAAAAACCGAAACCAAATAAAACAACCGATAACCGATCAGATAACCGAACGCCCAGGACTAATTAATATATTGTCAGAAAAGTAAACTGAACGGAGAAAATATAATTGTCTAAGACTTTAAACAAAACTGAGTGTTGGATTAAGGAACACAAGAAATGGGGAATCGTCAATTATTGTCTGAAAAACGATTCACATTAAAACATGTATTTTCGGGAAAAGAAACAATCATTTCTGTTTTCTTTCTCTTTTTGGTGACCTGTGACCCAATCATAGGTCCACAAAATTCAGAAATTTGTTTGTACATTTAGGTTGCAGTGGCTTAAGGAAATCACATGAGAACAAATAACGTTCCAGTCAATATTTTAAACTCTTCTCTCCTCTACTATCACAATAAGAGCAACATTATTGGTAAGCTATTAAGATCGACTCTTAATAATAGTTTAGTATTATAATTATAAAGTTTAGAGTTAAGAGATTATATTTTTGTTTTTAATTTTTATGTGTCTTTATAAACTCTTAACTTGTGGTTTTTAAGGAAAAAATATTAATTTAAAAATGGAATTAAATCAACAATTTTAATTTTAGAAAACTTAATAATTATTGCAAATTAAAATTTTTAAAACATATATGAGATATAATTTATAACATAAATCACAATAGTTTTAAACTTAATTTTCGGTATATTTTGTCCATATATCTAGTAGAATTGAAATAGATTGGATAAATGTAGTCCATTTTGGATAAATGTCATTAGTGAGATAGTAACACAAATAATACTCGTTCCCGTTAAAAAGAAATTAAATAAACAATGTAGCCTGCTATATAAATGTTCAGGTAAATTGTCGAGTTTTTGGGTAAATACCCGAGTTTTCGGGTAAATATCTAATTTTTCGGGTAAATATTCGGGTTTTCGATTAAATCTCAAATTTCGGGTAAAATATTGGGTTTTTGAATAAAACATTCGGGTATTTTCGGGTTCGGATTTTTGGGTATATGAGTTTAGGATCCAATAAGATAAATCTAAATTTTTGGGTTCGGTTTTGGATAAAATTTTTTGGGTTATCATAGATTTCAGATACATTCTAAAAAAAAATAGATAAAAAAATGCTAAGAATTAATAGTAAAAACTGGTTATTTGGTTCTTATATAAGAGCCTGTTTTTAAGATATAAGTCATTTATTTATTTATTTTTTGTAGGAAGTAATGTTAAAAACTTTTTAAGAACCTATCGACAAAAATGGTCTAATACGTTTAATTGG